CTTGGTGTTGTGAAACTGAAACTGATACTCCTCTGCTTGTGTTTTGCTTTTGGAACAGATTTCTTTTCAGGTGGGGAGGGGGAGTAGAACTCCTTAGCATCAGAGCGTGTTAATAATAACAAAATAGGAAATACTCTAAATGCTCTGATGGTCATTTTGATAAATCCTTTCTTAGTGAGCCCCTAGAAGCCAAGAGGAACATACATGCCAAATTTCAAGTTTGTAGGCTTTATGGTTCTGGAGATTTTGTGATGATGCATGAGTGGCATTTCGCTTATATATATATATAAATTAGTATCTGCTTGTCCCAATGAGATGCAAAAGAGAGGAGAAAAGGTTGGTAGGAAATAGAAGGGACCATTTCTGATCAAACAGGTAGAGCACACTTCAAATGTAGATCTTTGAGGATCATGTGAGCCATTCAGTAGATCAGAATATTGATTTTTTAAAAATCAGTTTGGGTACATGTCTCAAAGGATTCATATTTTTTGGCAGGACCTCTTAGTTTGTATATTTACATTGGTTTTATCCCCACAGACCCCCTTCCCTACTCATGAGCAATAAAGGGGAGTTTCAGGGTACAACTTACATGTTCCCTATTGTCCTTTCCATTCTCATATTCCTTTGGCTAAACCAACCTATTTATTGTGTGTGCTGCTGCTTTCAGTCCTATCAATCTCCCTTGAAATTATTAGACCTGGGAGGGAACATCTACATATGTCTGCTAACTCTTTCCTGTAAAAGAAATGAACTATTCTATTCTATTCTATTCTATTCTATTCTATTCTATTCTATTCTATTCTATTCTATTCTATTCTATTCTATTCTATTCTATTCGATTCCATTCCATTCCATTCCATTCCATTCCATTCCATTCCATTCTATTCTATTCTATTCTATTCTATTCTATTCTATTCTATTCTATTCTATTCTATTCTATTCTATTCTATTCTATTTATCTCTGTCTCTCTGTCTCTTTGCTGGTTTCAGGTGTGTCTCAGTATAAATAAAGACAGATCTTGGTATTTGCCTCAATAAGTTTTATGTTTTTATTCAGCTGAATAAAGTTGGGTTCCTCTAAGCAAGAGGGAACCCCCAACACACGTTGACACTTGTATTTATATGTTTGCAACATTGGCCAGTTGTCCACCCAGAAGCACTGGCACACTCTAGAGAAGATAAAGAAGTGTAGAAACAGCCACCCACTGCTCCTGGAGGTCCTCCAAGGAAATTGGGTTGTATCTCAGGGACGTTGGGGGTTTCCTGAGGAACTTTCCATGACCTTGAAGGCCTGCAGAGGCAACGGTGCCCTTGGCACATATGCTTCTTCAAGACTGTCAAGAGAAATATTAGATTCCCGCTCTTCCCTTTCTCTCTCTCTGCCTCTCCCTGCCTCCCTCCCTCTCTCTCTTTCTCCCTCCCTCTCTCTTTGTCTCTCCATCTCTCCCTCTGTCCCTTCCTCTCTCTGATACTGCACACATACACACAAAAGAACAATCTAAAGTGGCTCAGCACGCTCCTTGATGAAGATCTGTCGGTCCTCTTGGGATACCAATATAAAGTATGGAAAAAGTTTGCAAACTCTGTGGCAACAAAAGCCACAGTAGCCAAGGAAATGACCGGTGATTGGAGAGGACCTTGATTTTCTCAAAAGCAAACTGATACTTGTTTCTGACTGACCTATGTTCAGGCTCATCCTAAATTAAAATTATTTGCCCTTTTTGATGCACCCTAAAGTGTTCTGTGGGTGATTCCATCAACACATTTGTGGATTGGCCACAAGAGAAAGAGGACAGTTATGTCACCCCTGAGGGAAGGTTAATTCTCCTGAGAAATGCTTCCAAAATCCTTAGACAAAGACTTTCATCTTATCATTTGATCTTGATTTCAGATGCAGCCCACTGTGACCCCTGCCCAGAAGACCAATATCCCAACAAAGAAAAGGACCACTGCGTTGCCAAGAAGATCCACTTCCTCTCCTATCAAGAGACTCTGGGATACACTTTAGTTTCTCTCGCTCTTTTTCTCTCCATGATCACATCTGTGGTCCTGGGAATTTTCTTCAAGTACCGTGACACACCAATCGTCAAGGCCAACAACCGAGATCTCTCCTACCTCCTCCTGGTCTCCCTCCTGCTCTGCTTCCTCTGCTCTTTCCTCTTCATTGGTCGACCTGAGAAGCTCACCTGTCTCTTCCGACAAACAACCTTTGCCATTCTCTTTTCCCTTGCAGTTTCCACTATCCTGGCAAAAACAGTCATGGTGGTTTTGGCTTTCATGGCCACCAAACCAGGGAACAGAAAAAGGAAACTCTTAGGAAAACCACTGACCAACTCCATTGTCTTAGGATGCCCCCTGATCCAAGCCATTCTTTGCGCCACTTGGCTGGTAACCTCTCCCTCATTTCCCAACTGGGACTTCCACTCCTTGGTAGGAGAGGCCATCTTGGAATGTAATGAAGGCTCAGCTTTGATGTTTTATGCTGTCCTTGCCTACCTGGGTTTCCTTGCCATGGTCAGTTTCACAGTGGCCTTTCTGGCTAGGAAATTGCCCGACAGCTTTAACGAAGCCAAGTTCATTACTTTTAGCATGCTGGTCTTTTGCAGTGTTTGGATCAGTTTCCTCCCCACCTACCTGAGCACCAAAGGGAAGTCCATGGTGGCCGTGGAGATCTTCTCCATCTTGGCCTCTGGGGCTGGTCTCTTGGCTTGCATCTTTTTCCCCAAGTGCTTCATTATCTTACTGAGACCAAGTCTTAATTGTAGAGAAAATATGATAAGAAACAAGAATCTCTAAGAATCTCTTTATTTATTTTTGAGGCATATTTAGGATGGGACAGACCGTAAGAACCAAGAACCCATGAAGGCCATTTGCTCTTGGTGTCTGACAAAGAAGCAAACTATTCTCAGAACAAAAGGATGATTCCTAATGGGACAATGTGAAGACCAGGGGTGGGGAGAAGGAGAACCATGCAAGCCCTGCGCAGAGAAAACCAGAGCTGGTTTTGATCCTTCAGTATTGAAATGGTGTATCGAATAAAGTTTTGCTTTTGGGAGTACAAAGTTCCTGAGAGTGCCTACTTCTGTTGGGTTCGCTAGTTGGACTGTTGACATGTAGTTCAAGTTATTTCAGATTTTATGGTTTCTCCAGATTTTAGTTCAGGTTATTTTAGATTCAGATAGGGCAGCCGCGACTTCTGAAGGGAAGCCATTCCACTAGTTTGTTGTTTTTGCTGTTAGGAAATTCCTCCTTAGTTCTCAGTTGGATTTCTCCTTGGTTGCTTCTTGTCCTGCCTGTCAGCGTTCCAAGTAAACCCTCTGTACAATTCAGAACTGCAAAACAAAGTCCATCCAAGTAAGCATTTATGAAAGATAGTCATGTTGACCAGGGGTGGGATTCCAATTTTTTAACAACCGGTTCTATGATCATATGATAAGGTGGGTTGGGTGGGAGCAGCTTCAGCAGGTCTGGTCAGCAGATGTCTGGCCTTCAGGTAGGGGTCTTTTTTGTTGATTGATGTCACGGTCTAATTTGAGGGCAGTCACGTACCACGATTGTAGCATTTCAGGTATGTCTCTAATGTTTCAGGCCTTTTTTACTTCTGGGTCAATGGCGTTTTTGAAACAGTGCAGGATGATTCTTTCAGGCCAGTCCATGAGGTGGATTACAACCCTTCTAAAGTCCCATACAAAGTCTGATAAGGGTCGCTTGCCCTGTTTCATTTCCATTAATTTGTCCTCATTTCCCCCCACTCTGTCTGGATTCTCAAATCTGAATCTCAACAAATGAATAAAAGCATTGACATCCTATAGCTCTGGGACCTGTTTGTAGTGGAGTTGGACCACCCAGTCAGAAGCATCCCCCTCATTCATCCCATCTGTTGTTGCGGTGACCAGATCGCGCTCTCTTGCATATTGGCCTCCAAATTGGTCTCTGTGAGACCAGATTCGAGTGAGGAAATAAGCGAAATGTTCATGCCATCTGTCAAAAGTTGCCTTGAACAGCATCTGGTCTGATCTGGGGGTGGGGTGGGGAGGTGGTGTCGCTATGGCAACCGCAGGCTGAGCTGGAATGAAAGGAGCCTGACGAGGCGTGTACCTACTTTGAAAGGGTCTTCTGAGGTCTGGCTGGGTTGGGGCTCTCCGGAAGAAGGGTCACTGCAGGGTTGCTCCGAGTGGGGGTTGATTAGGGGCCTGCCATGAAGAAGCCGGTTGTTGCCTTATTCCCTTCATGGGGGAAGGGGGGTGGGGTGGCTGCCGCCTGCTGCCTGTGCAGATCCCTTTGTTGGGAAGGGATCTCTGATTCTCTTTGGGCCCAGGGCATTGCTGGTGCTGGCATCCACTGGCACTGGATCCAGCCTTGGCCAGAATAAAATCCCCACCCTGGAGGGATACTCTCTGCAGGGGGTAATCTCCTTTCTGGTTGGGGGAGGGGGAGGACTGGGAGTTCGTAACATACCCATTTTAGTCTGCATCTCTCGTCTCTCCCTTGAAATTCGATCCTGCCAGGCTGGGCTGCTTCGCTGGCCATCTCCAACTGATACCAGAGTGAATTCTTCTTCCCTCCTTAAACTGGGGAAGGGAAACGTGGGCTGCGTTATGCTCCAGCTTGCCTGGATAGTTTGTGGCTTTGAGGCATAACTTTCCAGCTTTAGCTGGTGGAGCTGTTGTGAGATTCCTGCCAATGATTGGCTTCGGGATGTAATCCTCTGGCTGCCATCTTGGGAGGCATCTGATGCAATTGGGGCTCCATACCTGCAATCTGTCTCCCTTGCAGTATGTCGAGGGCTTGAGAAAGAGATTTGTTCCGGCAGCTTTTCTTCTGGTACCGTCTGACAACTCCCCCACGAGTCTGATCCTTTGGGCCGGGCTCCTAAATCTTGTCTCTCTTCTGCATGCCTCAAGGCCTGCATTACCTCCTCCGAAGGGGGGATGGGGATTCAGCTCATCTTCTGTAGAATAGAATAGAATAGAATAGAATAGAATAGAATAGAATAGAATA